AGAAATCAGTTCCCTGGGAATAAATCTAGAAAGAGACAGGCAAAATCGCTATGAATAAATCTATAAAACGCTGTGGGAGAAATGAAAGAAGACCTAAATAAGTGGAGAGATAAAGCTGTACTGGGAAAAGCATAAACTAATGAAAGAATAAATCTAGACACGGGTCCAGCCACGCGCAATTAGACCCTTGACTTTTGACCCGGGTAGCAGTACACGTGCAGTGAAGAAAGGCTGACCTCTCGGGGAATTGTGCTGGCTCAAGGGAATACCCGTATGGCCAACCTTTCCCCACCTAACTTTCATAAACAGCCAGTCCAGCTGGATTACAGATCTAATGTGAGAAACAAAACACTAAGACTTTTAGAGAAGATAACCCCAAATCTCTAAGACCTTGGGGAGGAAAAGTTTTCTTAAACAGGATATAGAAAATCATTAGGAAAACATCAGTTTTAACACTACCTAATTAATCAGTGACTTCAGTTCCTTAAAAGACGACATTATAGGAGTGGAAATAGCTATTTGCATCATAAAGAAACAACAAAGATGGGCATTGAGAATGAAGGACTCCCTGGGCGCCTGGTTGGCTCAGTCGGTTGAGCGTCTGACTTTGGCTCAGGTCACGATCTCACAGGTTGGTGGGTTTGAGCCTCACATGGGGCTCTGTGCTGACAGCTAGGAGCCTGGAGCCTGCTGTGTGTCTCTCTCTGTCCCTCCCCACCTCACGCATGCTCGCTCTTTCTCTTTCTCAAAAATAAACGTTTTTTAAAAGGTTAAAAAAAAAAAAGGAATGAAGAACCTACAAAGCAATAAGCTATACCAATAAAAATTAAGAAAAATTCCTATAGGGGCGCCTGAGTGGCTCAGTCGGTTAAGCGTCCGACTTCGGCTCAGGTCACGATCTCATGGTTCGTGGGTTCGAGGCCCGCATCGGGCTCTGTGCTGACATCTAGCTCAGAACCTAGAGCCTGCTTCAGATTCTGTGTCTCCTTCTCTCTCTGACCCTCCCCTGCTCACACTGTCTCTCTCTCTCTCTCAGAAATAAATAAAACATTTAAAAATTTTTAAAAAAAAACTCCTATAAAAATGTGTCTACCAAATTCAACCTCTTTGTTTCCAAAGCAATCCACAAATGTTACTGGATTTTTACGGATAATCGCTCCTGTGTGTCTTTGTAGGAACCCAGTTGGTGGAAGAATCCAGTTGGCTACTGCGGTCGTAATCGCTCTCTTCCCATTCATCTCTTGGGCCTACATATACGTAAACAAGGAGATGCGGTCCTCCTGGCCTACTCACTGCAAGACAGTCCTTTAAGTGAAGCCCAAAGTCCCATTCTTTAATTTTTTTCTTTAATTTTATTTTTGAGATAGAGAGAGACAGTGTGAGCAGGGGAGGGGCAGAGAGAGAGGGAGACACAGACTCCGAAGCAGGCTCCAAGTTCTGAGCTGGCAGCACAGAGCCGGACCCAGGGCTCGAACTCACAAACCACGAGATCATGACCTGAGCTGAAGTTGGCACTCAGCTGAGCCACCCAGGCGCTCCCAAAAGTCCCATTCTTAAAATGAGTATTGTCAATCGAGTTTTTATAGACACGGTTGTAACAAGCCAATGTCCTAGGAACTTCAGGTAATCTGAGCTAATGTTAGAGGTGACTTTTAAAAAATGCTAAGAACTTTCTGAGGATGCCTACCATGCTGCACAGAGTCGCGCGGGACTGCTAAGAAGGGTGACGTTCAACTGGGTCCCTGGGTAGTAAAGGCTGCAGAACAAACGTTCAGAAATACGAATTTTGCCTCAGCTTACCCCTGCCTATATGACTTGGGCAAATATATAAACCCCCTGGTGGATATTTCGTCATCTATTAAATAGGATTAAAACCAGCTCTGCCTTACTTATGCAGTCACAGGGATTAAACTGGGTAACATGAGTGCCTCTCCAAAACACCAAGTGCTTACAAAGGCCACAAGTGATTAAAATTGAGGAAAGCCGGGTTTGGATGGAATGATAGAAACAGAGGTTCAAGAGTCGGCTGTGGCCCTGAACTGAACTCCTCACGCTGTGCAGGGCAGTGAGCTCGATGATGCCCAATGAACGAGCACGTCTTGGAAAGCAAGGAGAGTCCGGGAGAGTAAAGGAATTGGGGACCAAAAGGAAGCAGGGGACATTAACTATGTTGTAAATGAAAAATACGACCAAAATCGATACACATTTTTTTTTTAAATGAACGTCAAAGGTAACCCTGGGGAGAAGACCGTCTCGGAGCCGTACTCTCCAGCGTGGTAGCTTACATTACCGTAACCAGGGTGCACGTACACACGTGACGTGGTCACACGACAGTAGTGCATGTGCACGTGTGTGACACGGGAACATGGCCGCGTCGCGTAGCGACATAACCTGCCGACAACCGTGCGATGTGGCCCTGAGCGCCTGAGATGGGGCTACGCTGAGGAAGTCCAATTCTACATTTTTCACTTTAATTTTATAACCTCTCAATTCAGTTATTGGAAAGCTTAGGAATGTGTCTGGAACGCTTCTTTTAAGTGCATTGGGAACAACGTGGGTAGATGAATCTGCTTCTTTAACTGCAAGTTTTGTGTCTAAATACGGATCACATATTAACAATGAAAATGTGGCGTCCCAATGGATGGGCTGTTCGTGTAAAATACACATTTGGGTTTTAAAGATGTACAAAAAGAATATAAAATGTTCTCGTGTTGATTACAAGTTGAAACAGTTTAGCTATATTTGTGTTAATATAAAATATATCATTAGAATTTGTTATGTTTCTTTTTACTTTTTGGAGTAAATTAAATTACTGCTTTTAAATTACTTATGTGGCTCCGGGCGTATTTCTGTCGGACGGCAATTTTTTGGGGTTAGCATCAAACTCTGGAGTCGAGATACTGTTTCACAAGAGTTAGGAAATATTTCACTCAAAAAAAATATTAGTACCAGTCACGCATCAGGAGAGAGGAAATAATTCTGGCCATTTGCTTGCTTTTACGGCCTTGAATACAATATTAAGGATTCTATAAATACTTGTTAAAGGAGGTACGTATGTTTTGTGCTTGGTTTATACACAGTGGTCACTGGACAGGCAAAATTCTCTAGCAAGATTCAGATGAGGGAAAAGGGAAAAAGGAAACCTTGTCAACTGTAAGCAATGGACGTAAAATTTATCTGAAGGGTCAAAAAAATACACAAAAGGGATGTCAGTGTTCCAACGTATGCTTGGCTCGCATGAGACTTCTAGATTTTACACCTCTTTGGATGTAAGTGCTGAAGTCACACACGAAGAAATGGATTTATCTGTGAGTCCTGTATAGGATCTACCTATCCTCCAGGGAATGCCTGATTCCGTGCTTAAAAGACAGTAGTGTTCCAGATCGAAGGAAAAAAAAAAAGTGATGTTCAAAATACACTTTCATCGTATCCGCGGCCCTCGCATCACTGTGAATTCTGCAAATACACGCAGTTCCTTTTATATCTCTGAGCACAGAGCTCTTGGTAGGAGCGCTGCCTTCGGAAAGGAGTATTTATTACTGAGACTGTTGTAAACTCTGTTTCTCCACTGAAAGTAAGCTTAACGTTTCTGTTATCAGAGCCTCTGCCTTCCCTCTGTCTATTCTCTGCCCTCTGGCACCCTTCCCCATCAGCCTCTCCTCCTCTGAAGACTGAAAGGCACCTGTAACCATACTTCCCCAGCTCGGAAACTGGAAGGCTCCTCACTGTCTGACAAGCTCACTACTAACTCTGGGCTCATCATTCAAGGCTCCACAACACGGCCCTCGCCGGTCCTCTGCCTGCGCTTTCTTGCCACAACCCAGGTGCCTTTTGGCGAGTCTTGACAGCACTACTTACCACTCAGCTCAGCGTGATGCCCTCATCTCTGCTGATGCCCTTCTGCCTGACACCCTGTCAAGTGCCTCTTCCTCCTTCAAGTCCTCCCTAATCCTGTTCAACAAGAGTGAACTGCCCTCCTCATTCCCAGGCCTTTCTTCACACATTTGTGTCTCCGGATGGTGAAGTCGGTGAATGCAGGGAGCACATTACAGTCACCCCTCCGGTGACCCGAATATCGGCCCCAAAGGTCGCTGGTCCGACCCCCCAGAACCTGGGACTGTCACCTTGTATCACAAAGTAGACTCTGCGCACATGATTAAATTAAGGATCCAGAGATGGGAGCTGATCCTGGATCAGCCAGGGGACGGCTCCACGTAATCACAGCTGTCTGGATAAGGGGGACGGGGGGAAGGGGAGGCTTGAAGAGGCCACGCTGGTGGCTCTGAGGGTGGAGGTTCTAGAAACTGGGATACAGACTCTGCCGCAGAGACCCTCGAGGGGGCGTGGCCCTGACAACACCTTGAGCTTGGCCCAGGGAAAATGATTTCAGACTTCTGACCTCCAGAAGGACCATATATGTGCTAATTTAAGCCACCAACATGGTGGTGATTTGCTGCAGCAGCTACAGAACACGAATACACCTCTTCGCCTCGGAGCCGAGGCGCCCAGTGAGCCGGGGGACTAGTACTGGGTGTGTTCCCTCTTGATGTTTCCTCAGGCCCGGACTCAACTCCCTCTACGCTTCAACAGTCTCGTTCCCATCTAGTCAGTTTCCAGGAAGAAGCCTCAGCGCATGGGTCAAGCAGGTTAGCGTGTCCCGTCTGTCTATACAGGGAGCGTCTGTCCATACAGGGTGCGGAGAGTCATTCGTTCAGCCCCGTGGTCTCCCACGGCCCTCGCTGCTGCCCAGAGGCCGCAGCAGCGGGTGCACGGCCGCGCCGGCTCTTGGTCCTGCCTTGCTGAGAATCCTGAGGGGACCGCGTGACTTCTCTGGGGGCCCTTCTCACAGCCTCGCGCGGGAGAGGCCACGCATTCACCCATTAAGCAACTGACTTGTTTACAGGACAGGAATACAAGCCGGTAACCGTACAAATATGCTGGGTATTCTGAGCAAAAAATGTCCAGAGCTCGTGCACACGGCAGGATACACAGAGTTGACCTGAGCTTACTTCATTTTTTTATTACGAATTTTAAGTTACACAGTTAATCTATGAATACATCCTCTACGTCCTCCTTGGTTTAAAAAAAGAAAAAACTAGCCTGATTTCCCGTCAGGCTAAATGAAGTCTGTCTGGCGGACTCCACCAGCCCCCTCGGCCTCTGCCCTGGTTTATTCACGCCACTTCACTCGCTTCGTGTCCAGTCCTCAGCTCGGGATCTGTCATCCAAAAATGATGTTTCAGAGCATCTCGTGAGCTGGTGCGCACGGAGGCCACAAATACATTTTGTTACGTGAACAGAACGCCAAACGGGGGACTGAGGATTCTGGGGGCAGAGGAACAAAAACACCGAGCGAGGCCACTCTCTTTCCATAGAGGTAAAACGAGATCATGCAGACTAAGCCTGGAGAGCGTTCCCCCGCTTGTAACTCATGACTCTGTCTGGAACCCGGCCCTTCCCTTTCAAGAGCATCTTGTCAGGGTAGACGTAGACTGTGCCGAACGCCTGGCTGTCCGGCGCCGTCTCTATCACGCCCTCTAGGTTGACGTGGTGCACACCAAAGGGGTCCTCAGAGTAGCCGCCGTCGTGAGTGTGACCGGCAAAGAAACACACCACACACTTGTGGGACCAAATCACGGCCAGGGCATCTCTGTAGTTCCAGGCCAGGCACACACTGTCCGAGGCCTCGGGGTAAATGGGGAGGTGGCCTGTCAGTTAAAGAGAAGAAGAGTTATGAGCCAATCAGGAAATATCTCTTTCATCAAAATAAATGGCTAAAAGCTAGCACGCGGGGGAAAAAGGCCCATTGTTCCAGATCGACTAAGCCCAGCGAGTGCACACACACACGAAGCTCTGGCTGCTCTGCACCCACAGCCCCGCGGCGTGCAGACGGGGGGACAGTCCGCACAAGAGGCGAGGCCAGGACTGCAGAGCTCCCCACGGCGCCTGAGGACGCACGGACACCAAGAGACCCGGACACAGACGCTGTGCTGGGGTCCAGTCTGACGCGTCTCCTTAGAGACGCAGAAAGAGGTGCTCCTAGATTTAGGAACCGTTCCGGGATGCGTCAACGGGTTATACGTCATCTACACAGACACTCAATGCTTTAAAACGGATTCGTGCCATTTTCAACACCTCCATGAGAGCAAGCTAGCTGGAGCCATTTAACAGATGCGAAAAGCGAGGTACAGCAGGGACTATTTGTTCGAGGTCCCACGGCAGGTGTGTGCAGGGAGAACCCCGGGAATCTCGAGCTCCTGACGCCGGGACACACGTGAGGTCACGCCACCTGTCATTCGCGGCGCGGGCACAACAGCTCACTCAGCTTCACTCCTTCCCCATGAGTCACTTTCCTTTTCTGTTCCTGCAAACTGTTACTTCTATTCTGACATTTATTCTGAATTTTTATTCTGTTTTTATCTATTAGTTTGTAATATGGTGTCAACAGCCCCCTAAAGAACCAAAGGCGCCCCAAGAACTTAAAAGAGTTTGCATGTGCGTGACACACCTGCTCCTGAGGCCACGCTAAGGGCTCCGGGCCCAGAGAGGCCAGGTGGCTTTACAGACCAAGCGGCCATATGACTCAAGTGACACAGGGACCATCTCCCCGTCCAAGCGGCCCTGGGCTGCAGGAACCTCCCCTGTCCTCCCTGTCTTCCTCACAGCTCCATTGACGTTTCCAGAATTCTTTTTCCCCACTCCTTCCTGGGAGCGCCTGGATACCCAGTCCCTGGGCTTCGCTCCTCTGCCTGCACCTAATGCCCTGTGATCCAGGAATCCGTCCCGAGGGTCACGAGCAGTCTTCCAAGTCCTGCCCGGACTCCCCACTGTGAATTTCAGACTCAAACACCCAAACTGCTTCTCAGCATCTCCCGTGATATCTCCAGGCCTTGAGACTTCACATTTCCAAACCCCAGTTGCCGAATTCTCCACCCAAAACCCCTCCTGCTGCAGGGCCCCCACCAGATCTCTGCCCACAGCTGTGCTACCCTCCCAAGTGCACGGCCAAGCCCCAAGTGCACAGCCAAATGACCTCAGTCCCCAAAAGTCAAGCGAAAGAGCACAGTAAAATGAAAGAAAATTGCTTATCAGCCATTTTAAACTTTGCCATAGAAAACCGCACATGCTCAGTTGCTAAAGGTTTGTTCATCGGATTCTCAGCTTACGGGAAAAGGGAGAAACTAAGAGACAGCTAACGGAGGCAGGTTCCTGCAGTAAAAAGAAACGGGAAAGGCAGGACGGGGCGGGGAAGGACATGGGGGGGACCCCAGTTCCCACCGAAATCATGCGCCACTGCAACATCCACGTTACTTCATTTCTGTTTCCTGATCTTTGAAACTGGCAGGTTTGAGGTATGACCTGTAGGTCCCTTTCCGCTCACGTCCTCTGAAGTGACAGGCCCGGCCTGGCAGCGGGAAGCTGAACAGAGACAAGTCGAGAACGAGCCCGGCTGCTGAAGAGCCAGGGAGTGTCACACCAGGGGCCCCGGGGCACCTTGTGGCTCGGAAGGACACCTGATGTAACGGCCGCCGCAACACCCCTACTCCATCCACGCGCTTTCCCGCGGCAGGAACCGATCACCAGGTGAGCCCTACGTGCAGAGACGTGCGCTTCTGTTCCACCGACTGTCAGAACCGCCTGCTGTTTCCAAGGGGTTCTCATGTCCGTAATTCCATGTGATACAATACTCAGGAAGCCAGTCTGTGGTTCCGCATTTACCCCGGGTCACATGGCTCACCGAACACCCAGGGTCAGACGGCTCACACGGGTCCCGGGGTCACACGGCTCACATGGGCTCCTGGGCTCACACGGTCACACGAGCTCCCGTGCACAGAACGGCATGGCATCCCTGCGACCCCAAGCACAGTCTTCTCAGCTGTCACCATCAATTCTACAGCAAGGATCGAAACGCAGACCCCAGGCCAAGGACACCAGCCACACCGCAAATCCAAAGTCAGCTCTCCGTGTGCGTGCGCACGCCTGCTGCTGAGGGCACTGAAGCACCTCCAGGTCCCTAGAGCCTGCAACAGCAGCGTGTCTGTGAAAGGTGATTCTAAGCGGAAGTCGTGCAACCCCCATCTGCTCGCGACGGCGCGGCAGCCCCGACTCCAGGAGTGACGTCCTCACCGCCAGGCCATCTCGCACCCGCACTTGTTCCCAGCTTTACTGCCAACTCGACAGCAGACGCCTCTGTCGGGGCCACAGTGACGGCTGGCAGAGGTCTGGTGTGGGGCCTGGACTGAACTTCGCACTCGGGCGTTACAGCTGACCGTGGACAAAGGCCTGACCTGCGTGGGTGCACGCAGACACAGATTTTACAGTGCTGTCAACGTTCTTCTCTTCCCTACGATTCCCTTAATACTTTCTCCCCGCTAGCTCACTTGTAAGAATACGGCACAGAATACACGTTAAAACAGACAAAATATATGTCAATCAACTGTTTATGTTCTCCATGAGGCTCCAAGCCAATAGGAGGTCATGTGTCATTTAAGCTTCTAGGGAATCACAAGTTGTATGTGGATTTTCGACACTGCAGGGGGTGGCGCCCTGTCCCCCACGGCGTTCAAGAGTCAACTGTACACGTACACTGATCCCATGTGCTGAAATTCTACTTTGAGACCTAAAAGGCCAACTCCCAGGCACTAACATGTGGCAACATGTTTTTGCTATTTTACAGTTCTTTCCTGGCTGGGCCATAAATGTCGGTCTTATACTCAGGTTCTCAATATTAAAAAGAAGAGGAAGCATTCATTTCACAGCAAGAGGACATCGCAATGTAAACATTACTAGCACGCGGTCGACCTAATTCTCCCATCCTCTAAAACGCTGCTGTGACCAAGTAATTGAAATACTTACTCACAATCACCACCTTTTCCTGGTTTGTGTCCGAGAAGGTGAGAACTTCGTTCAACCAGTTCAGCTGCTCTTGGCTGAATCCTCCGTTGAACTGGACAAACTGGGGCTCAGACAGTCCTGAAATGAATGAGGTACGTTAGGCCCATCAAGCGTGTTCAGTTTTTCCCTCCTTTGGGCATTTGAACTCGGCTAACATGGGGACACCTGTACCTTTAGGAATATTAGGCAGCAGCTGACTTAAAACAAGAAACCACCAGGATTCAGGGCGACGCAGGGATGAATCGTGCTGTGCTGTACACCTGCTCTGCTTACCTCACGGACCTTCTGCGTCCTGATGCCCAAGGTGCCCTCCGCGGGGCACCCTGCCCTGTCCTGCCCTCTGTCCCCAACACTCCGCCCACCCCACACCCCCGAAAGACGACTCCTTCCAACCTCCAACCATGCAGGTTTCCACTTCCATGTGCTTCTCTCGGGAGAGGCCATCTCCTCCGACCACCGAAGCCAAAACGGCAGGTGATCCCTGTAACGCTCTATGTGATTTTCTTGGTAGGATTTATCACTGTGGAAGTAATTTCATTTGTTTCATGTATCACTGGTCCCGCCCATCTACGTCTCTGTTTCCTCCACTCAACCCATTAAAAAGAGAAGGGAAGCCGTCAGCATTGCTTATGGCTCTGACTAGCTAGCCCTAGAAAAACGGCCTGGCCCAGGACATTCAGATATCCATGAAGCGCATCCTTAACCAGCGGCAACCAATCCACGCGCCATGAGGCCTGTGAGAAATCTGGACCCTGAAAAATGGCGACAATATACTTTTACCTTAATCGTCCATCTTCCTGCTGAATAAAAGGTAGCTGAAGAATTTAAAGACAACGTATTAGATTCTCAGCTCAAAGGAATAATTCACCTTGAGGACTGTTCAATTCCGAGTTTGGATTGTGACCCCTCAGTATCTTCAGACACTGCTGGTACTTTGCAGAGGACTGGTCCACGCCTAAGACGCTCAGGTCGTAAGCATCCAGCAAGATGAACCGGAACTGGGGGAACGGTACAAAATGGTAAGCATAGTAGCTCTCGGAAGGCACGGTCTCGGGGTGGCGCACAATCTGGTCTTCCAGAAACTTTGTGTTCAGTTTGGAATTGGTTAGGTAGTGTCTGCTGAAGTTGTAGAACTCGTGGTTCCCCCACGTGTGATGCACGGGCGCTTTCAGCGTCTGGAATGCGCTCATAACAAGCTCCAGCGACTTCTCGGAGGTTTTATACTGCGCGTTGTATCCGTCGATGACGTCCCCCAGCTGGAGCACGCAGCGGGGCGGGCTGCCGGCTGTGTTCCAGTGCTCGATGGCGCCCTGCAAGTGGACCAGGCTGTGTCTGTAGTAGCGCCGCCTGTTTCCCTGGAAGTTATAGCCATCCTCCAAGTCGGCATACTGAATATCTGCTATGACTCCAAAGGAGAAGAGGAATTCCGAGGTCTCGCTCAGTGGCCCAGGACTGGGCTTGCCATCATCCATAACCTCCACACGGGGTCTAAAAAAATACGTTAAGTAAAACAAAATAAAGTTAAAATGGATAACCACGTCATACACAGCTCACTCTCCTAAATGCACTGAAGAGAACGGGAAGGTGAATGTTAAGCGTTAACCCGCCAGGCGGCACGTTAGAGAGAAGTCCATAGTCTTAAAGTCGACTGTCTTGGGTCCAAACTCTCACGTCTTTGACATGGTTCCATTTTCTCATCGTAAGGTACACGATCGCCTGTATTCTTCACAACGGTACCAATCTACCAAAGGGTGCTATCCTATCGTGAACAGGCATTCTAATTCCAGGAAAGTCAAAGTCACATGTGACAGAATTTGTCATTTTACACACAGACACACGCACAGTACGTTCTTCCACAAACACCAAACCAATTCTATCAAAAATGTCAGGATTCTTTTTTTCAGAACGTTGTATGTTACACTCATGCTATGTGCTTGATACGTGAGATTCCCCTTAGAGACTATTTCTGTGTCAGGCTGGTCTTTTCTCTTCTTTGGTGGCTACGTCACGCGAAATAACTTTCTCGTGTTTTACATCTGGAATAACAGGGAGAGGAAATAAAGACACGAGAGGAATCATTTTAAACAAACAAAATCCAGCGTACGAACTATAATATCGATGTGACTGAGAGATAATGTTCCTGCTTCTTGAACAGCTAGATTCTAATTTGAACCAGCTTTTCTTAACCTGAACATTAGGTACCCTGTACCCACAAGTGAAATGGAAACTACATAATCTTTCCTTCTCACACATGATCTGTGTCCTGCCTCACTAGCCAAGAACAAGGGATTTAGTCCTGAGAAGCTATTATTTTATTAACTTGCTTATAATCTAAATTTATAATCATTTCTAATGCCTTAAAAGAGCTAAGAACACTAAAGATTAAGAGAAAAATCAGGGGCGCCTGGGTAGCTCAGTCAGTTAAGCATCTGACTTCAGCTCAGGTCATGATCTCAGTTTCTGGGTTTGAGCCCTGCGTCTGGCCCTGTGCGGACAGCTTAGAGCCTGGAGCCTGTGTCAGATCCTGTCTCTCTCTCTCTCTCTCTCTCTGCCCCTCCCCCGTTCACACTCTGTCTCTCTCAAAAATAAACATTAAAAAAAAAATTTTTTTTTTAAACCAAAGGCTATGGTCCTAAGTCATGGACTATTCTTTTTCTAAGTCTACAGTAATAAACTGCGCTGTGGTATCTAAGTTTATTAAGGCCTAGTTGTTTCTAAAACAACAAATTCATTTGGAATTTCTAAACTCACGTTCCAGCTACTGGGACGTACAGTGTGTGCGGTCCTCGTCGACAGACCGCTGCTGTCAGAGGTGAGGGCAACACTCCTGTCGGCAGAAAGGCCGGACTTGAATGCGGCTTGAGGACCACAGGCCTCTTTATTCTGAAACTGCTGTTCACGAAGGCCACGATTCCACTGGATCCACCAGACAGGCGCTCCCGCTACTTTCCTCCTTAGCCGGGCTGGGGGAACCCGAGCCCTGACACAGGCAAAGAAGCCCTAGAAAGGATGGCGGTCCTGGAAAGTGGCTTGGCGTCCTTACGCTTTTTTCCCTCCCGTGCTCGCTTCCTCGTACAGTCCCATCTGCAAACCCCAGTCGACAGCGAGGCAGTCAACGTGTGGGAGGTGGGTCAGATCGTCTGATCTGAAAGGTGAACAACTCAGATACGGTAAATCTACGACACCTCCAAGTCTGATGAGTCTGTAGTCGTTCTGGGCTGCAGATACTTGTGACTTAGAGTGCGGAATCATATGGGAAACTCCAACCAGAAGGGAAGTGAGTAAATGCGTCCCCGGAACATTAGTACCAAAGCTTCCGAGAAAATGACTTCTGGGAGCTGTTCTCCCTTGTCAGATGAGCCTGTTTGTTTTTGTGTTTACACCCAGAAGTTGTAACGCGATCACCTGTACAGTGGATCTGCTACCGGGAGCTTTTAGTCCCACTCAACTTGACCTTCTCCGGGACACAGCCATTATTCTCGCCTGCCTACCCAGTATTCACTCTCTGTGCGTTTGGTCAACAGCACCCCCATCTCCTTAGACACCCACACTCTCAGTGCACGTCTCAGTGCGCGTGGTGTGACCTTCCCCTGCTCGCGGCAGAGGCGTCCCTCTGGTCGGTCAGGGGCAAGCCCGTGACCCAGGCGAGTCAGCCGGCCCCAGCTCCGGGACTGTTGCTGGAGGTATCTGCCCAACTACTGCTGCCACAGCGCAAAGCTGGTGGCGAAGACTGCAGATGTAGGCAAGGCCACCTGAGAGGAAACCCAAGCCAGACAGGAGGAGGTCGGAATGACGGGAAGAAGCCAAGTCCTGGAAACGTTAGGTGAGTGCCTGGACCCACCTGTCCCTGTTGATCATTTCATTCTACCGGCCATCAAGTTCTCTCAGTAAAGCCAAATGGAACGGGCTCTAAGGTCCCGTCAGATACACCTTCCACCGAAATGCAGTTTAGAGAAACGCCAGGGCAAACTAAGATTTGCCAACCTTTTAATGAAAATTCAGCAACGTGCGGAGAAGCATCAAGGGCCACACACGGGAACAGTAATGTGTTCTGTGGGAGAAAGGAGACATGTAATGTCCCAGTCGTACAGCTTTTAATAAGGCTGGGGCACCTGGGTGGCTCAGTCGGTTAACCATTCGACTCTTGATCCCAGCTCGGGTCTTGATCTCAGGGCTGCGAGTTCGAGCCCCGCACTGGGCTCTGCACTGGGTGTGAAGTCGCCTTAAAAAACAAAAGAAAAGAAAACAAAAGAAAATAAGGCTAAAGATGGGGAACATACCATTGTATGAAATAAATTATTCTGAAGAACAGAAATGAAAATCGGTACTGCAATCTGTTAGGAGAAAGGCAGGAAGCAGGAGGGAGGGGCAAGGCCACACGCAAGGAAGAGTCAGAAGTGAGTAAGGCGGGTCGAAAAGGAAAACCCCAAGTGGACAGGGACGGACCCACCAAACTAATTCAATGTCTTTCGTCTGGTCCTACAGGATGCGGGGAGCACAGAAAGATTGCTTTTGGTGGACAGAGAGATAAACTCAAGACACCTCCAGTGAGGAAACAGGTTACTAAACATGCCAGGGGCGGAAGCGCTTCAAAGTGCCCACCACCCTCCACCAGACACACACACACAGAAGCGGGTGAGGAAACAGTAATCGGGTTTTTTTAAAATATTTTAAAAAAATTTTTTACTGTTTTTATTTATTTCTGGGAGAGAGAGCATGAGCTGGGGAGGGGCCGAGAGAGAGGGAGACACAGGATCAGAAGCAGGCTCCAGGCTCTGAGCTGCCAGCACAGAGCCCGATGCGGGGCTCGAACCCACGAACCGTGAGATCATGACCTGAGCGTTGGATGCTTAACCGACTGAGCCCCCCAGGCGCCCCAAGAAAGGGTAACTGTTGAAGCCAGTAATGGGTACATGAGGTTTACTCTCCCTACTTTTCTGTGTGTTTCTAAATGTCTGTAAGGTTTTTTTTAAACGTATTTGTAGAGAAGATCAAGTCTAGATGAATTAGAAGACTAAGAGTATAACATGCTCTTGAAAAGAAAGGAAAATCCCAGGTTGCAAGTGAACTTTGTTCTGAAAGTTTGGACTGCACACCATTATATGTGACATCACCGAAGTTTTAGTTACCAGGCAGCAGGCAGGCTGCTGAAGGCTCTGGAATCAAAGACCTGGAAGTGAACTGCAGCCCCAGTTTTTCCCGGAGTGAAATAATCCTCATCGGCACTTGTGAGATTCAACTAACTTACACTGTATAGCGATCTACCTTGTAAATCACAAGGCGCTGCATGCATGCTATTTTTTAATTATCTGTCTGAAAATTATATCTGCCTGGTGAACCTCAAAATAACCAAAAACTACTGCAGGTTTTTATAAAACAGAATATGGTAGGAAAAAAACTCTACCAGATTTTCAAAAACTTTATTAGTCAATTCCTACAAAAGCTCCTTCAAATAGTCATGGTGCATGATATGCAGGCAGCATTTTGTGAAAACTTCCTTAGGTTTGAATAATTTTTAAGAACAGGAAGAAACAGGGGCGCCTGGGTGGCTTAGTCGGTTAAGCGTCCGACTTTCGCTTAGGTCATGATCTCACGGTTCGTGGGTTCGAGACCCGCGTCGGGCTCTGTGCTGACTACCAGCTCGGAGCCTGGAGCCTGTTTCAGTCTGTGAATCTCCCTCTCTCTCTGACCCTCCCCTGCTCGTGCTGTCTCTCTCTCTCTTTCCTAGAAATAAATAAAACATTAAAAAAAAAAAATTTAAAAAAAAAAAAAAAGAACAGGAAGAAACAGGGGCGCCCAGGTGGCTCAGTCGGTTAAGCATCCGACTTCGGCTCGGGTCATGATCTCACAGTTCATGGGTTCAAGCCCCATGTTGGGCTCTGTGCTGACAGCTCAGAGCCTGGAGCCTGCTTCGGATTCTGTGTCTCCCTCTCTCTCTCTGCCCCTCCCCCACTCATCCTCTGTGTCTTTCTCTCTCTCTCAAAAATAAATAAGCATTAAGAGTTTTTTTTTTTTAAAGAACAGGAAGAAACATCCCAAGGATGCTTACTTTCTGCAAACTTGCTACAAGATGATAACGAATAAAACTTCTGTAGTAAGACTGGCAGAAGGCTGAAGCTGCAAGTCCAAGTCCATCAAGCATCTACGATGAACTTGCACGTGAAGACAGCCCTACGCTATTGTCCAAGGAAAACAAAGCGGTGGGCAAACAAATCTGGATACTAATACGGAGAGACAGGCAAGAGGAACTACAGCGATAGAGAGAGATGCTCAAAGGCTCAGCCAGAAGTGTCTTGGGGAAGGCGGCCGGTGGGGTAAGCAGAGTTTTCATACGCAGAGCCCATGGGACGGGTGGCTGTGGAAGGGAAAGGGGGGGGCAGTCTTGGCCTATAAGTGTGCTAAATATCGCAGTAACAGGAAAGCTGAGGCTGGAAGGGTTTGTGTCTAGGCACGTGGGGCGGGAATCTGGACCTGAGACCGAGCAAACCGGTTACCGTGCTGGGAGCCACACAGAGTCAGGGCCTTGCCGTCCTAGTCAAGGCAGCCTGACTTTACGCCACGTACCAAATCAGATCGGCCTGGTCACTGCTGACAGAACAAACATGAGATGATGTTACCTAGGTTCCGTCCTCTTTCAAAAACAGTACCTAAACTGAAGGGGGAACACTTCCTTGCTGATCTCCGTGGCTTAAAAGACATAATAAGAGAGACCGGTTTACGCTAGAAAATATCTTAGGTACCTTTTCACACTAGAGATTCACGCATCCATGAAATGAGGCTTAGTTAGAGGTGTGATCAGCAATTCATCCCACGTATACTTATAAAACACCTACTTCGGGTCAGGAATGGTTTGGGAAAGGAGGATTATATTTAATACTGTAAGTGTAATATGAAATAGTTGTAAGGGCGCCTGGGTGGCTCAGTCGGTTGAGCGTCGCCTTCGGCTCAGGTCATGATCTCAGGGTTCCTGAGTTTGAGCCCCCCTCCCCTCAGAATAGCTACCGTCAGCGCAGAGCCTGCTTCAGATTCTCCGTCTCCCTCTCTCTCTCTGCCCCTCCCCTGCTCACGCTCTCTCAAACATAAATAAAACATTTTAAAAAATGTTTTTTAATTAAAAAAAAGAAATAGTTGTTAAAAAAAATGCTTTGGTAAACAAATTAAGAATAAAGCTATTGAAGGAATCACTTTGGCAAACAAAATTCAACAGCCCAGATAAAAATAACACTGCGTTTGAAGCTGTATGATGGACATACTTAACATGCAAAGGAGCAATTTAAAAAGATAAACAATAATTTTATGTGCTCCTTGCCTCAATGAGCAAGGTGTTTCTGTATCCTTTTGGCAATCTGAGAGAAAACTCCCTGGGCAAACAAATCCACAGAAATAAAGAGGATTAAAAAAAAAAATGTTACCCAAGGGCAATTCCAGGACAGAAACTGTTGCTTTGAAAACGATCTGAAGTGCACCATGTACTTGGAGCAGAACTTCCAGAAAATCCCATCTGGACCCTCGGGCGTCACCGGGCCCCAACTTGACGGTCCTGGGCCAGCGGCGCGGACTCGCGGACGCAGCCGCCCCAGGCCCCCAACCACCGGGGCGCGAGCTGCTCGCTGGAGGCTCGCCGACGAAGGCCACGCGGGGGTGTGATCCGAAGTTCAGGAAGAGAATTGGGCATTTACCTGTGTTTTGCCAATCCAGCGGGGAGGGGAGGCGTTAAGAGTGCAAACACGGAGAGATTTAGGAGGCAAATCCTTCGCGGACGTGGGAGGCCCAGGGATGCTCGGGCGCTCGGCGCGGGCTGCACCCGAGGCAGGCGGTGCCAGCCTGGCCCGCCGGGCGGAACCCGGGACCCGAGGCGCGGAGGGGCGTCGGCGAGAGCGCCTGGGACGCGGGGGCCCAGACGGCTGGGCCAGAGCCGGGCTCCCAGAGAGGCGACGACTGCGGGCGGCCGGCACCCCCCCTCCCCACCCCGGCCGCCCCAGTTCCCCCGGAGCGCGAGCCCCCACAGGCGGCCTCCACACGGGGGGCGCGGCGCGGTCAGAGCCCCGCGGCTCCCGGCCGGCGTCCAGGCGGGGACCGGGGCTCTCCGAGCGGTGGCCGCCGCCACGCCCCCGCCGCCGCCTCCCGTTCCCCGTCCGCCGCCCTCCCGCGAAGCCCCAGCCCAGCCCCGGCCGCACCCGCCTCCAGCCGCAAGGAACCACCTACCGCGCGGCGGCTCCGCTGCCAACAGCTCCCTGGCTACGGGCTCGGCGACCTCGCCACCAACGAGAAGAGCGGAAAGAGCGGCCCCCCGCGACTTCCGGAGGAAGTGGAGTCGGCGCCGGAAACCGGGGGGCGGGCCGAAGGAGGCGCGGTCGGCTAGGTCCATGGCGGGCCTCTTGCTGGTAGCGGGGTCGGCTCTGCGGCTTCCGGGGAGGCGAGTGTGGCGTCTCCTGCCTCACGGACTCGGCGTCTGGGCCCCGGCGCGGGGGACCCCCGGAGCCTGGATGAGGCAGCTCTGCGCGCCGCGAGAGGAAGCGCGACGCACCTCGGAGCTCGCTCGCAGCTGCCGGGGGAAGCGGCCCCTCTGCACGGCGACGCCTCCTCCGCCGGGGTCATCGGGCCCCGAGCCGACGGGCAGCAGAGACCCCACGCGGCCCTCCAAGCCCGGGGTGAGTGCACAGCCCGAGCCCTGCCTCTGCGGCTCGCGTCTCCACGCCGGCCCGCGACCTCCCCATCCCACCGGGTCGCAGCCTCGGAAGCCGCTCGGCCGGGCCCGGAAGGGTCCTGGGCTCAGCCCTGCCCGGCAGCAGACTCTCCTCCCGCGATCCCCTCGGTTTGCGGGAGCTCCCAGCGCTGAAGACAGAACCGAGGCCTTCTCCCCGCGGGTGGCGTCTCGGGCTTGGAGTGTAGTCCCCCCCTGCCCCCAAAATAGAGTTCGGGTTTTCTTGAAGGTCTCAACCTTGGATTGACCAGGACTGAGGAGTCCAGGCGTGTTAACTTCTGTCACTTGACTGCCCCTTTAGATTTTGATGTATATGCTGAAATTGAGCAAAATGTGGGTCGTAGTTGCGTGCTGGGTATGCCCTCTTTGGTTACGGTCGGATTCTAGTTCTGATCCCCACAACCCTGAGAGCCGCTCCCCACTAGTGATAGTTAAGAGAAGTGGGCTTTAGAAGCTGCGGGAAGAAAGGTAATGAATTAGGCCGAGGTACTGGACATCTCACTTACCTTGGGATCTGAAAAAAGCGCAAAGAAATAATTTGACGCAGTTTGTAAAGTAGATCTCTTCTACTTTAGCTTTCTTACTTCCAGAAGGCAGAGTGAGGTTGACCTCCCGAATTTTTATTTGGTTTATTTATATTTTCCAGATCAGCATAATCACATAATTAACGGGTTTTGAAATCGGCCTTTGTGGTCAAGGTCACATGTGGTGATAGTCATGGTACTTGAGCTTCAGGGCCCCTTTCACATGAAAAGAAATTGACTTAGGGAATTTCCCCTTGGAAAGGAATGCCTCTGTAATGGTCTGTGTTCAGAGCCCAAATGGGATTGCATCCATGGACACTGTCAAGTATTTTCTTTTCATTTTTTTTTTCTTTTTGGTTAACATTTATTCATTTTTGAGAGACACCGAGAGTGTGGGGGAGGAGCAAAGAGAGAGGGAGACACAAAATCTGAAGCAGGCTCCACGCTCTGAGCTGTCAGCACAGAGCCTGACATGAGGCTTGAACTCACGAACTGTGAGATCATGATCTGAGCCAAAGTCAGACGCTCAACCAACCGAGTCACCCAGGTGACCCAGTATTTTCTCATCCCAGAGTAACATGAAACATTCTACATGTTTAACAAGATCAAGACCTGTGTTTATGTATATTACAAACGACCCTGGTAATAAATGTAGTACGATTACATGTTTGCATCTGACTAGTATTTCTGTTTGTGAAATCTCTGCCCCAGTAGCCTGTTTCCTGGAAGTCTTTGGCATTCACATTTGCTATTGGTGGAGCCTTATTGGCTGGAATGAAGTACTTCAAGAAAGAAAAGACAGAGAGTAAGTAGATATCCTCTGCTTAGCTCTGAATAAAACCTTTCTTTTCTTTTAGCATCTCTTATTTTGTTTTTAAGCTTTTTATCTTGCAATAATTTTTTTAAAAAGTTAATGTTTATTTTTGAGAGAGAGAGAGACAGAGTGTGAGCAGGGGAGGGCAGAGAGAGAGGGAGACACAGAATCTGAAGCAGGTTCCAGGCTCTGAGCTGTCAGCACAGAGCCCTACATGGGGCAGGAGCTCACAGACTTCGAGATCATGACCTGAGCTGAAGTCGGACACTTAACCCACTGAGCCACCCAGGCACTCCTGTCTTGCAATAATTTTAGATAAACAGAATGGTTATAAAAATGTCACAAAGCAGTTCCTGTGTACCTTTCACCTAGCTTCCGTTACTGTTAACACATCATATAACCATGGCTTATTTAATCAAAACTAAGAAATTAAGATCGGTTCAGTACTGTTTTCTGAACTACAACTATATTTGGAATTCACTTAGTTTTTCATAGTGTTTTTATCTGTTTCAGGATCCAGTCCCAAGATACCACTGTCTAACAGTATGAAAAGACTTAATTGTGGACAGATCTGAGCATGGGTGGTATGAAGCCCTGAGCGTTCAAGGATGACTTAGATGCGGTCCAGCCACTGAGGAGCTCATGACAGGAAACAGACACAGAAGTGAGGGATTTCGCTGGATGAGTTCTCCCACGCCAGGGGGAAGATCAGGGTGCTCTGCCCTGATCAGGGCCCAAGGAAGGGCCAGCCCCTCCTGCAGACCACCAAGTACCAGCAAAGGGCCACAGACTGACCTTGGACGATGGAGAGAAATAGGGAGAATCTGGTCAGGGAGTGCCAGGAAACTGCTCTGGATTAGCATTTGATGTTCAGAAGTTGTTTGCAAGAACTTGATATTTTAATGACTATGCCAGGCTTCTTAGGTTTGGTTTAGAAGTTTCTAGTAAGCCTTTAAAATATCACTTAAATCTGTTTTGGTTCTTCAGAGTCTCTTTTGAAGCCATGATACAAAGGATATGTTTAGATCTGGGAGAATTCGTAGGCTGTAGAATCTCAGCAGTAGGAAACCCGTGTTGATAGGCAGACCTGTGTATTTTATTGAGGAGATTTTCATATTCTAGTAAGAAATCGAGTTCCTTTAAGTTTCACAAAGAAAGAAAATAAGCCGGGAAACGTAGTGGCAGAGACCATTCTAGAATAACCAAGCTTTTGACTTTAGTTTGGAATTTCACCTGCATTAATACTTGTTTAATTTTTTAAAAACCTATTATGAAACAGTTTTTAAATATTTCCAGAGGCACTTGGTGGCTCAGTGGGTTAAGTGTCTGTCCTTCGGTTTCAGCTCAGGTCATGATCGCACAGTTTGTGAGTTCAAGCCCCGCATCAGGATCTGTGCAGACGGTGTGGAGCCTGCTTGAGATTCTCTCTCTCCCTCCCTCTCTCTCTGCTCCTCCCCTGCTGGCACTCTCTCACTCTCAAATTAAATAAATAAACTTTAAAAAACTAAAGTATTTCTAAATCATTTGAGAGTATTTGCTGACATGGTGCCTCATCATCTCCAAATGCTCCCTCGTGTACTGTTTACAGACAGGGACGTTCTCCACCGTAATCGTAATACAGCCACCAAATCAGAAAATTTACATCAACATGTTAACTACCATTCAGTCTTTAGACCGCATTCAAGTTTTCCAACCTGCTGTTCTTTATAGAAGAAGGTTCCGGTTCAGAACCATACCTTCGACCTACTCGTCTCTTTAGGCTCCTTCAATCTGTAGCAGTTTCTCCACCTTTATGGGACTTTGATGGCCTTGACAACTTTGACGGGTTACAGACCTGCCATGTCCCTTAGTTTGAGTTTGTGATTAGATTCGGGTCCTATTCTTTCAGCAGGAACATCCAGAACTGCCGCTCTGTTCGCATGGCGTCTAGTCTGGTAGCGCGAGATTTTTTTTGGTCCTGCTACTGATATTGTTCGGGTTGATTGTGTGTCTGTCAGGCTTCTCTCCCGAAAGTGGAATTGATACGTATTTTGTGGGGTGTATTTACACGCATAAATACTCATCCCAGCCCACATCAAACTCTCCATTTATTTATGTCCGCGTGGACTCGTGCTCTCCTACGTATTCAATGAACTGTAATCCATATTCTCCTTATTTTGATGCTCCGATGTCTCGGATTGGTCACTGGTAGTCTGAGCAAGCTCTTGTGCCTTTGGACGCGTCTCCAGGGTTCTTTGAATTCTGCCTTCAGTCTGACGGGACAAGATGTTTAGGCTCATCATGTACTTCCTCTGCCATGGCCCTGACACCTGCCATTTCTCCAAAAAGCCCTGTTTGCTTTAGTGGAGGATGATTCTTAGAAGTCAGGATAGGGGCTCGTTGCTGCGGGGTTGTGTCCGCTCCAGGGCCCTCTCGGTGGACAGAGCAAGAAAGCCCGGATGTAGTTACGTCTGCATTTACTTCTGTGTGTGTAGAAGCCCCACAGCCACAAGTTCACCCTCACACTTCCCGTTTCTGCACAGGATAACAGACTGCGTTCTGATTTTTTCTTCCTGTCTTTCTACCTCTGGCCGTGTGTAACTCTTAGCTTTAATATTCTTATTTATTATTAATCCCTTGTATAGAACTGACATCCCATCACTGCTGTCCAGACCCCATTCAGACGCCCTCGGGACACTCAGGCGAAGATTCCTGGTGCCGGGCCACCCACCCTGCCCCACTTAGGCTCAGACAGCCCGCTCTGCGCCCCTGCGGCCCCTCCCAACCCCCATCATGGCCGCGCCTAATGACAGGACTGAACTATTCCAGAAAAGGAAGAAGGGTCTTTACCACTTTCTCAGAGTCCTCTCTACATACCATTCCATTCCATTTGATTTTGTTGCGTTGTCCGAGGATTGTTTTTCTCAGAGGATTTTTTAAGCTTCTTGAAAATAGACCGTTTAGCACATTTTGTGCCCCCACAGTTATTAGTACCAGCATTTCAGTACCTGTGGTTTGGTTGACTTTTTTAACGTGAGCGTTTGTATCTCTTCCAGAGCTGGAGAAGGAACGGCAGCGAAGCTTGGGAAAGCCTCTCCTCGGGGGCCCGTTTTCCCTCACGACTCACACCGGAGAGCCCGTAACTGACCAGGACTACCTGGGTCAGTGGGTGTTGATTTATTTTGGTTTCACTCATTGCCCTGATATCTGCCCAGAAGAACTGGAAAAAATGATTCAAGTCGTGGATGAGATCGGTAAGCCACCACTAACTGTAAAAACGGCTTTTCCGTAACATCCTTCCCGTCACCACGCTTTTCACGTCCTCAGATTGCTTTTGGGCGGGTGTTGTAATTATTTGCTTTGTGAGAACATAAAGTTTCAGCATCAGGCCCACTTGCTGCTTTGATTCCCATGACCTCATTCTCTACCAGAGAGAGCTTGTTCTGATGCTAAATGTTAAACTGCTTAAAAATGTGGGTGAGGTCTGGTTTCCCATAGTGCTGTTCTGTGTCCCTTACTTGATTGTAGACGTCTGTCCCTGACACTGCCGTTGTCCACGTGACGGACTAGAAAGTTGGCAGTCTGGCCTGTGCCGTGCCGTCCGCGGCATTGATTCGTCCCAGAGAGGAGGCAGGGTTCCGTCCTTAAGCTGGGTTGTTTGTGAGGATTCAGTCCTCACTAATAGTTCACCTTGCCCCTGAGATGTGGTAGGGGAACCCACAAACACTGCGTTGGATCAGGACACAAGATGCCCACGTGATGTGACTCCGGTTACCCGTGTGCAGCTGTGCAGGTACCCGGCAGGCCGTCTGACCCCGCCAGCGATACTCTGTGGGCCCGCCCTTCCTCCTCCTCCCCCCTCCAGGGTTTGGTGCCCCTGTTTCCCTAACGCCTTGCCGTAGCACTGCCCACTCTGCTGTAACTGCCGGTGGTCGTTTTCTCCCCCGGAGCGTGAGGACTGACCAGCGGAACTTTCTTTCAGATGGTATTCCGACTCTGCCAAATTTAACTCCGCTTTTCATCACTATCGACCCAGAAAGGGACACCAAAGAAGCCATCGCCAAGTATGTGAAGGGTAGGTCCTGTTAATAATGCCTTCCATCTGTGTAGCTCTTAGAGTTTGTGAAAGATGGACTCCTTCGACCTTATGCGCCTGGTGGAATCAGGGGGACAGATGGTGTTATCGTCAGGTTCACAGGCAAACAAAAAAGGGGAGGCTCAGTTGTGACTGCGAATAAGCAAAGAAGAAACAAGTTTCTCAATTCCCGATGCACAGCTCTGTGTATTTTGTCACAGGAAGGACCGGGCTTGGCCTCAGGTATCAACTAAGTTAACAGAACTTGAGTTGAGAGGGAGGACACATTGCTTCTGCTTCTGCCTCTCTGTAAAATTAGGACAGATAAACATCCCGGGAGTATGTACATTGGGAGATTAGCGACATTATTTTCCTTTTAATGTTTTTTTATTTTTAGAGAGTGAGCGAGTGGGGGAGGGGCAGAGAGAGAGGGAGACACAGAATCTGAAGCAGACTCCAGGCTCTGAGCTCTCAGCACAGAGCCCAACACAGGGCTAGAACCCACAAACCGTGAGATCATGACCTGAGCCGAAGTTGGACGCTTAACTGACTGAGCCACCAAGCCGCCCCGAGATTAGTGACATGAGATGTGAGCACAATGTGAACTCCTACCCCATATTTTATGAATCCAGAACATTTGTTATGACAAGTACATTTATAACTTTTCATAGAAGAATCTCAATTGAAACATCACATCCAGTTAAAACCTATGAGAAGGCCGTTCTAAAGACCAAGTTTCAGTAGAATTAAGGATGAATGCTTACATCCTTAGGAGTTAGGGCATAGGAATCTGTTTTCTCATTGTGGGAGTGACAGGAATGTGGGCACTCAAAAGTCAGGATTTGGAATTTTAATTTTCATTACAGTGAAATTGATTTAGGCTACCAGCCAAAGGGACTAACGAATACTATCATATGACACACTGCAGTGCATATCATCTCAAGCTTTGAGGTTTATTAGAAGTGTGTTTTGTGAAGGGCCTGCAGTCTCTTCTGATAGGTAACGTGTTCATTGAGGTATGATTGATGTACGATAACACATACGTATTGTCAAGTCTGCTCTTGTGATACCATCACCACAGTCAAAAAATGAACACACCTGTCTCCCCTGTGCCCTTGCCCCCCCTTTTGTCCCCAGGCAACCACTAATGCGCTGTCAACATAGGTTAGTTTGCATTTCCTATAAGTTTATGTCCACAGATTTATATACTGTGTCCTTCTTTGTTTTTAGTGGCTTCTTTCCGCATAACTATTTGAGACCATCCATGATTTAGCATGTATCGGTTCACCCTCTTTTATCTCTGAGTAATGTTCCAATGACGGACACTGGAGTCACTTCCAGTTTGGGCTGTTACAAAGACAGCTGCCGAGAGCGTTCGTGTACAGGCCTCTGGACGGACACACACTTCATTTCCCTAGTAAATGCCTGATTGCTGGAGCATGAGCTGGTGTGTGTTTATCTTTTTAAGAAACTGACAGTTTTCCAAAAGCAGTTGTACATTTTTATATTACCACCAGCCACATACGAGAGCTCCGGCTCCTGCCCGTGCTCCCCATGCTTGGTGTGGTTTGAAGAGCACTTTACTGGTTTAGAGACAATTAGAGACTATTAAGAAATCTTTGCCCAGCCCAAGGTTACAAAGGCTTATGTTTTTACAATTTTTTGGAAATTTTAGAGCTCTTATTATATATTCAAGGTGAATTTGTGTTCTCAGTTTGCAGGTTTAGCAGAAATGTGAACAATGGCATTGTTTATTCCTAAAACAGTAAAAAGCAGGCATAACTCGTGGGGTGATAAATGATCTCCAGTGGAAGTGTGTGTTATGTTGGCAGCTATTTTTTTTTTACTGCAAATTAACCAAATCCTAAATGTCCCCAGATAAGTAGGCATCTGAGTCCCTGTAACTGAAATGCAAATCTCTTACGGTAAAATTCTCCACCAACACATACTGAGTGATGGCATCATCTTTACTAGTTGCATTGGATACGGGGGAATTTAAAAATATTTAAGTTCAGGGGCAGCTGGGTGGAGCAGTGGGTTAAGCGTCCAACTCTTTATCTCGGCTCGGGTCATGATCCCATAGTGCATGAATTCAAGCTCCGCATCGGACTCTGCACTGATGGTGTGGAGCCGGCTTAGGATTCTGTCTCTCCTTCTCTCTGCCCCTTCCCTGCTTGTGCACTTGCTTACTCACTTGCTCTCTCTCAAAGTAATAAATAGACTTCATGAAAAACTTTTTTATATATATTTAAGTTCATATTTAGAAAATTATTGCAATTTCAACAGTTTTTTTTTTAAAGGTTTGGATATGCAACCAATTCAGATTTCATTTACCTTTCTGTTAACTCAGAGTGGAAAAGAAAAACAAGCGATCATGCTTTTTCAGTAGCTGAACAGTTTCTCAATTTAGGATGAATTAGTCCAAAAAATGAAAATAGGCTTTTTTTTCTCTGCCTTTGGAAGAAGGCACTGCTGTCAAATGTGCTTTCATCTCCGTGGTCTGATGAATCCGGGGGGTTTCAGTGACTTCCACCAGCTCATTTCCATGAACCCCAAAAACCAAACAGCAAATGCAGGCTGTGAGATTATTTGCTGGAAAAGGAGACCTAGCCCCGGACCAGAGACGAGTGAAGTGTGAAGCAAAAATCAAACCTCTTTTTCAGGATACCGGGAAACACTGTAATGCTTACTATGGTAAAATCTTTACACTTAGCATGTCTCAGAACTGTATCTAAATATTTAAAAACAACTAAATTAGGGGCGCCTGGGGGGCTTAGTCGGTTAAGCGTCTGACTTTGGCTCAAGTCATGATCTCACGGTTTGTGGGTTCGAGCCCCACGTTGGGCTCTGTGCTGACAGCTCGGAGCCTAGAGCCTGCTTCAGATTCTGAGTCTCCGTCTCTCTCTGACACTCCCCTGTTCACACTGTCATTTCTCTAAGAAATAAATAAAAATATTTAAAATTAATTAATTAAAACAACTAAATTAATAAGTAATGTGATTTAAATAATTAGAATATATATTCCCTCCAGATCATTACAAGAGGACTTCGAAAGGCTTTGACTTCCATATTACAGAGAACTGGCTTTGGGTTTCAGTGATTTCCTGCTTTTAGCTTCATTGATGTCTGCTCCAGTTCTTTCCTTTTGCTCACTTTGGATGTAATTCCTCTTCCAGCTTCCTCAGGAGGATATTAGATTCCTTATTTTAGGTCTGTCTTCTCCCACGTGCAGACTCTGTGCCACAAATGCCCCTCGAAGCACTGCTTGGGCTGCATCCCCCAAATTTCAATAAGTTGTGTCTTCATTTTCACTTAGCTCAAAGTACTTAAAAAAAATTTTTTTTAATGTTTTATTTATTTCTGAGAGAGAGGCAGTGTGAGCAGGGGAGGGGCAGAGAGAGAGGGAGACACAGAATCTGAAACAGGCTCCAGGCTCTGAGCTGTCAGCACAGAGCCCGACGCAGCGCTCGAACCCACGAACCGTGAGATCATGACCTGAGCTGAAGTCAGACACTTAACAGACTGAGCCACCTGGGCGCCCCTTAAAGTACTTTTAAATATATCTTGAGCTTTCTTCTTTGACCCGTGTGTTATTCAGAAGTGTGTTTTGTCTCCGTGTGTCCTGGGATTTTCCAGTGATTTTTCTGTTTCGAGGTCAAGTCCACTGTGATCTGAGAGCACACATGTGGTCTCTGTCATTTTAAATCTGTTAGGGTGTGTTTGATGGCCCAGAACGGCCTGTCTTGGCGAACGTGACTTCTTCATGACAGAGGAGAGTTTGCATTTGTTCTGTGTGCTTTTCTGTTCCTGTGAGTCACGAGGGAGGTTCCAGGATGCTTGGGGAGAAAGGGGCAGCGGAGACTCTTTATAACTGAGACTGGCGTCTGAAGTCAGGGCGTGGGGCGTGGTCTCGCTCGCTTCTCATTTTTCACCATCTCTCTCATTTTTTTATTTAGAATTTTCTCCCAAACTGGTTGGCTTGACTGGCACCAAAGAGGAGATCGACCAAGTGGCCAGAGCGTACAGGGTGTACTACAGTCCCGGCCCCCGGGACGAGGACGACGATTACATCGTAAGTAGACGCTCGGGTGGCGCTGCAGGCCGGCACTCAGGCCCCACACAGCTTGTGCCGTCCCGACAACGGGCCGCAGAAATGAGAGGAAAGCTGAGATCGTCACAAATTCCTCAGGAACTGGGAATATTTGAGAGGATGATAGAAGTATAATTTTTTTTAAGGATGCTGACTTGATGTGTAGTCACTGTCCTCATAATTGAATTTCTCATTTTCCTTTTTAGCAGCCCAGAAAATTACAGGAAAATATACAATGAGTAGGTATTTTAGAATCAGTAGAACATGGTACTTGGATACCATGTTGGAAATAAAGAGAAGTCATTGTTTGGGGCCAAAGCTTTATTTAAACTTAAAAACATAGGAGCCCTGGTGGCTCATGCGGTTGAGGGTTTGACTCTTGATTTTGACTCACGTTGTGATCCCAGGGCTGTGGGATCGAGCCCCGTGTAGGGCTCCGCTGAACATGGAACCTGCTTAAGATTGTCTATTCCTCTCCCCAACTTGTACTCTCCCTCTCCAAAACAAAAATAATAATAATAATAATAATAATAATAATAATAAACAAAAAGCCCATTGTTCAGGTTTTCTGTGTCCCCAGTGAAGAGGCGCAAGGAGCAGTGTTAGGCCATGGGGAACTGCATTTTTGGAATGAGCTAGAGTTCTGAAAAGCAAGAGAAAAGATGGAAAGTTACAAGAAGGTGGACTTTCCATCAGGTTTATATTTATATGAACTGCTTGCTTTGCATAATTCCGTGTTTACTACTGGGTTTCTAATGATGAAGACCAGAAACGCAGTTATTCCTATGCAGCTGTGCGCTCGCCGTCACTGCCCACCGAGCCCTAGGAGAAAGTCCACGTCACCCGGTCCCCCTTACGTGGACTTTCGCGGCAAAGCACCAAAGAGGGCATCAGCACCGCTCCACCCACCCGTTTTCTTCTCACACTGGACACCTTTTCCCGTCCGTTCATAGTTGGCCTTGCTGCTTAGTGTTAGTTCAGTTCTTCCCCCTCAGCTGTCGTCCTCTGGCTTCTCTGGAACATTGGTCGGGCGGAGTGATTAATCACAGGAGCCTGTCTCCAAAACATGGTTTGGGTGGGATGCCCAGTTGTACTATCCATTGCCTTTCGTGTGGTCTTTAAAATACTCTGAAATGTTGGTTTAGACTGCCTTGACCGTTTGGCCTGGAACTTGGCAAGAACACGTCATTTTCATGCTGCCTGTAATCAGCAGTGACGGCCAGGCGCCTGTGAGATCATAGACACAGACACGCATTGGGCCGTGGAGGTTTGGATTCAGTCATGAGACAATCATGTAGATAATCCAGAAAAGGAGTATTAACTTTTTCAATTTTAGAAATTAAAATGCAGATATTTAAGTCTCCTGGAGACTTCTTGGATATCCTAGACCTCATTTGGAGAAATACTGGTCTACTGGCTTAAGAATTTGACCTTTGATAAGAACCAGTGAGTTGTACACTTGAAGCTAATGGAACGCTCTTCACTGAATTAATAATCATCATCGTGAAAAAGAAACAGTGAGTTCTTTGCTAAATCAACCAGTAGGGGGAGGCACTCTCCAGCTTGTTAGGTTTCTCGTTGGCGTGACTTCTGTCCCTTGAGGTCATAGATTTTCATCTTCAAAATGGTGTGGGAAACTTTAGTCAAGATTTAAGGACCTGCAGGGAGTGGGGGAATGCTTTCAGGGTCGAGATTTGACAGAGTCAGGTTTTCTTAATCTCAGGCAGCAGCAGCAAAGGGGCGGCTTCTGGCTTGGGAGTGCCCGTGACATCTTCAGACTTATAGTACGTGTGAAATGGTGCTGGGGCACCTGGGTGGCTCAGTCGGTTAAGCGTCTGACTTCGGTTCAGGTCATGATCTCACAGTTTGTGGGTTCGAGCCCCGCGTTGGGCTCTGTGCTGACAGCTGGGAGCCTGGAGCTGCTTCAGATTCTGTGTCTCCCTCTCTCTCTGCCCCTTCCCTGCTTGTGCTTTGTCTCTCTCTCTTCCTCTCTCTCTCTCTCTCTCTCTCTCTTTCTCTTAAAAATGAATAAATGTTAGAAAAAAATTAAAGTAAAAAAGAAATGGATGTGCCGAACATTTAGGATCTATTGGAAGCTAAGTGCGTACATCATCGCGTTGTATATATATAATATTACATTCAAATGTAACTATTAAGTAGGAAGTATTTTTGAAAAACAACAATAGTGGCTTTCACACCCAAGAAAAGATGTGCAGTTCCACCTCTAATGAAAGAAGGTGAATTGAATAATGTAATGCCATTTTGTACCTGTTAGATCAGCAAAGGCCAGAAGTTGGAAATGTATTGTCGAAATCTAACTTGGGAAAAAAGGGGCACACCGTTGGGAAGAAATCTGAAGCCACAATACTTCTGTGCATCGGTCAGAGGAGTTTACCTGATAGACCCTCTTCGGAGGCCCAAACTGTCTGTCAGCATTTAAAATGGATACTGTTTGCTTCAGAGATTCTACCTTGAGGGACTCCCACACCTCTGCCCTACAGCGTCATCCGTATAGAGCAGCCAGGCAGCCACTTCGTAAAAGCCCCTCCATGTGCACCAGTGGGGGACCGTGTCCCGCACCGCGTTAAATGAGAAAGCGCCTACGGGAGGTTGTTGCTTCTCTATAGAAAGAAGTGGGTAGGTATGTACACACGCTAACAAATGCGGACGGTTTTCTGTGGAAGAATCCAGAAGGGACTCGTGGCGGCAGCCCCCTCGAGGAAACCGGAGGGGCACCCTCGAGACCGGAGGGACCCCCACGAGTCTGGAAGGAGCGACAGGCTTCCCGGGTAGAAGTTTGCCCCGTAGCCTTTTGCGCGTTTTTATGCGCGGCTGCTTACCATGGCAGACCCTAGGAAGTGTGCGCACGCGGCTGTAAGGCGCCCGCCTGGCTCTCGCGATGCTGCAACTTCCTCTCGGGCCTGTTTGGTTGTTTCTAAAGGAGTGGGATGCCTGGCTCGCTCGGGACGAAGGCGGCCCGTGACCAAGCCTGTCCGTGCACGTAGATCCCTGCGTCTGTCCCAGGACCTACTAGGGCCCTAAACTTGTGGGTCAGAAACATGACAGCTCGCTCTGCCCACAAGCCAGCCGGACGTGGAGACCTGACCACTCACAAGTTTGATCCGTGCGGCCAGAACACTATTCCGTCCTGTACCAGAACGTGATTTCCAGGATAAGAACACTCGTAAAATAAATCCCCTGGAATTCTAGTTTTTTAAGGGAGTGAGAGAATCAAGTACAAGAAAGAAAATAGAAAAACGGAAGCTGTAGATAGAGAGCATAGGCATGAAGTGCGAGCGGGGGACCCAGTTCTGACTCCAAATCAGATGTGTGGGGAAACACGGACCCCTGTCCTGCTGCAGCGAAGTAGCCCAGGACACGTGGGCCCACCAGCTGTCTGAGCTCTTGGAGCACATTCTTTCCTCCTGTGCACGGGCAAGTGGCTCGCTCCATTTGCTCTGTTTACGAACGTGTGTATATAAAAAAGCAATAACCTCACAGACCTATAATGTGTGGCGGGTCTATTTGGGGATGTCTCCGGTTCAGTATGTGTGATCACATTTCGGTCTTTCTTTTTGTCTTGCCAAATAGCAATCAAGCCTGCAGTAAATTCCAAGGGCTTCTTAAGCGCCAAGCCTTCTGCTCATTTAAAGTTGGATTAAGCGGAGGCATATAAATAAAAACTGTATGACTAATCCAAGCTTAGGTTAGAGCTAGGAATGTTTTCAGAACTTTGCCTGGAAAATAGATAATAAATGTCAGACTCCTAGGAGGGGCAGCATTTACGGCTCCTGAGAGGTCCAAGGTGATCTGCCTCGGGTAGGATCATTCGGCAGAGTATATGCCACCTTCCTAGGGGAGAAGAACCCTTGTTTCCACGTTGCCATTTGAATCACTAATATCAGGACTAAATATTGTGCCAGAACGTATAAATCGTACACTTACAGTAGTGGTGGCTTTTCTGGATTCTTCTCGTATAGCATGGCAGGCAGCATTTGGAAGTAGTGAGGTACCCGGTTCTTCTGAAAGCAGCAGCCATTTTTTGGAAGTCGATTCTCAGAGATCATGTGGATGCGTATGTTATGGACAGAACCAGAAGAATCTCAGATTCTAGCTGATGTCTAAGGCAGTAATCACCGTAGAGTGCTGGTGCACAAAGATTTTAGGTATCTGTCACCATGAATTTATTAAAATAGGCTTAGACCCATTCTGTAAGCGATACCTGTTACAGAGGTTATTTAAGCATAATGTGAAGTTCTCTTCTGCAGCATGTAATCAGAAAAGTAAGCAGCTTATTTCAGTGATCTTTTTGTCCTTTCTCTCCCTCCCCCACCTTTTTCTCTGCAGGTGGATCATACAATAATAATGTACTTAATTGGACCAGATGGTCAGTTTCTAGATTATTTTGGCCAGAACAAGAAGAATGCAGAAATCGCTGGTTCAATTGCTGCGCACATGAGGGAACACAGGAAGAAGAGGTAGCCTGAGCAGCGGTCCCCATGGAATGCTCTCTGGCCAAAGAGGAAAAAAGCTTTGTGTCCCACAGGAGTCAGCATCTCCCTGTGTATAAAAATGCAACCGACAGAATGGCTTTCATACCACAAGAACATCTGTATTTTGGACATTACGGGTCAGATACAAATGGGTGTTTTGTTACCCTTCGGTTCAGCCAAGATCGATTGTTGGAACCGGAAAGATGACAACCAAATAGTCACTTGAGACCAGAGGACCAAGTTACCGTGAAGCCAGGAGGGGGGGGGCGGGGGGGGGAACTCAGGAGAGACTCGACGGGTGCATTTCCCCACATCAGCGGAGCAGCGCTGCTGCCTCTCTGGTGTCCTGGACCCGTGTCACCCGGGTCGTGGGACGGAGTCTCCAGGAAGAGTGTAATTCCCACAGTGCCCTTGCTTTCGTCTTCGAGCTCTTGGTGGCCGATGACAGTCAAATTAAAATCAGGCTCTTGGACGTCCACAGTTGGGCTTTTAGACTCGAAAGCATTGAAGTCCAGTCTTCTGTGCAGACAGATACCACGGTCAGGTTTGTACTGTGCTCCCCTGTCGGCACCTGCTGATGTTAACTACCGATGAGGAAATCTGCTGTTTGGAGCAGACAGATCAGTTTCTTAGGGGCCTTTTATGTGGTTTTCACTTCAACGTGCCGGGTTGTCAGCAACCTACCAAATGGATACAGGAGGGTCTTGAAGGTGATGGTGACACAGGGTTCTCAGCTGGGTTGCAGTGGGACCTGGAATAAAGGTTTATTCAGCTTTGCAGCCTGGACACCATGACCTTGCTTGTGGGCGAAGGGCGGGTACGTCCGGGGCAGTGAACGTCCCTGTGCGCAGAGCGCAGGTGGGCCCCTCGGGTGCTCAGTAGGGCTCGGGCTCTGGGCTGGGGCTGGAATCACGGGTCCAGGTGGGATGCAGACCCCTACGCTCTTTTTTGTTTGTGTGTTTTTCTTGGTTTTTAACTTTATTTTAGAGAGCGTGCAAGCGGGGAAGGGCAGAGAGAGAGCCAGAGAAGCCCAAACAGGCTCTGCACTGTTGGCATAGAGCCCAATGCGGGGCTCAAACCCACAAACCAGAGATCATGACCTGAGCCGAAGTCCAACGTTGAACTGACCAAGCCCCCCCGGCGCCCCTGGACCCCAGTGTTCACAAATAACATGTAGGTACCTTAGGTGCTGGTGGCCTGGGGACCAGGCCTAGTGAAACTTTTGTGGGGAAGCAAGGTTTTAATCTGCACCAGTGAAAACTTAACCCATCCTTTGATGTGTCCATTAATGTCACGCTGTGCGCACAGCCATTGAGGAGAATGCGTGGTGGCGTGAATGCTTTGTGAATTCAGCTTCCACGGGGTGGGGCTTGACTGCCCCGTTTCCTACTGGAAGCTGCTTCCCAGGGCCAAGTTCTCCCAAGGTTTTCAGTAAATCCTAACGCAACAGGTACAGCTCTTAGACGACACACTCTTGCCCCTCACTTAGGTATTACACACACATGATACAGGCCTGTCGTGGTTTTTAAATTCGCAATACTTTCGTTAAACCTACGAGAAATACATCCAGGTACGTGAGAAAGGACAACCTTAAATTCCATAGCGGCTGCAGGCCGCATGGTCACCCTCCTGGGATTCGTACAGTGTAGTGGTGACGCCCCCCCCAGGACCTCAGAATGTGACCATATTGGCAGAGGGGGGTCTTTGCAGAGGTGACTCCGAGATGAGGCCATTAGGGTGGGCCCTCGTCCAGTGCAACATGTCCTTGAAGAAGGGGGCGGGCACAGAAGACCAGCTCCATGAGAAATGTAACTGCTGACACCTTGGTCTCAGGCTCGGAGGCTCCAGCCCGGTGAGAAAATGAGCTGCTCTGAACCCCCCCTCCTCCTCCCCCGCCCCCCCCAATCTGTGTGGCTTTGGGCCAGCAGCCCCCACGAGCTGACTCCTGGCCATTCCCGGGTAGAAGAGGAAAGAGCCACAAGACTGAGTTCCTGTAAACGCCAAGATGGAATGACTCCTAGGAACCTTGTCAAGAAGGCGAGGGGCTTTGCTGGAGGCCTAGTCCCATGTGACAAAAAAGATACCAAATACCTAACATGCCAGACGTGAGAGGAGCCGGTCTGCTTTAAGCCACAGGACATTTGTGTGGGTCACTTTGCAGCAGGCTGGCCCCGGATAAAAAAGGGTCTTCGTTCTCAGCTGTCACAGGTCAGAGCCGATGCGAGGACCCAGAGAGCGACGGCGGCTTTTGAAGAACCATATATGCTGTTTACTCCAGTGTCAAGTTTAAAGGCTCATAATCAGGATGTTAGAAGCAGGATGACGTCCAAATCTCTTTTTAAGCGCGAGGGGACAGTCCCCAAGATGAAGCTACTGCCCTTCCTTGTGAACCTCAATTAGAACCTGGGTCCCTGTGTCTGGCCAAGCTCCTGCGTGACCCACCGCCATGGGGTGCCGACCCGTGACCATGTGAATCCAGCCAAGCCTGGGGGTGCGGCATGCCAGGTGGGCAACCTTTCACTTGTGAGTTTGAGGAAACCAGAATGAAGGCTGCCTTTCAACAAAGTATCCCTTGCAGACCCTTAAGTGTTCACACTGGACTCTGAGGGTCTTTGTGTTGTTAGAAATGCCGTTGCTTATTTGAAAAGTAGAAGAATCCCGCCAGCGCAGGAGGCACATAAGGAGGCACACTGTCCGCGAGGCAGCCGGTAACCTAAGGTCCAGGGGACGACATTCACAGAACACGCACCCATTTGGTCAGTCCAAGGTAAAGCAGCCGTGGCCTGGGAGGCTAATGCAAACCCAGTACAGCGATTTGATGTCGTCGTCGTTTTTGTTGTTTATGTAAGCTCTACGTCCAATGTAGGGCTTGAACCCATGACGCGGAGATCAAGAGTGGCATGCTCTACCCACTGAGCCAGCCAGGTACCCCTCCCCCCGCCCCAGTAGAGTGATTTCAAATTGCAAGTGCATCTGCAGTGAGTTATTTTAAAATAAGTTTGGGGGCACCTGGGTGGCTCAGTCGGTTAGGCGTCCAACTCCTGATTTCAGCTCAGGTCATGATCTCACGGTTCATAAGTCACGGTCTTGTGACAGGTGCTCACGTGTTCTGACCCTCCCCGTACTGGCAGGCACCTAAGCCTGGACCTGTTTGGTCATCCTGCCTTAATGAACTGTTCACACCTGCTTGCTTAAATGGCATTCAGATTAAGGGACAAGTTTTTTGGGGAAAAAACCCTAAGGTTCGAACCAGAAACTTGAGACATTTGGTCCTGGCACAAGAACACCAGGGCACGAGTATGCTGTCTCTATCTCTCTCCTAGAAATAAATAAAACATTAAAAAAATTAAAAAAAAAAATAAATAAAACATTAAAAAAATTAAAAAAAAAAAAAAAAAGAACACCAGGGCACGAGCATACGGTAAGAGCAGGTGGTGTGACAGGGTCCTTTCTCTAGGGCCTGGTGGGCACGGAGCCTCATGAAGTCCCGTCTAATCTGTAGTGAAGCAGACGGACTGTAAGCAGATCTATTAAATGGTGTCAGATAGTAAGCAGTGCTGTGAAGGAAAGAAAGTAAAGCTTTGGAGAGTGATGGGAAGGACAGGCATTAACTGGTCATGGACAGGTCCTTTGGGGGTGACCATCTGAAACCTGGGAGTGAGCCATGTGAGTACCTAGGTGGGGGGGGGGGGGAACCTCCCAGGACAAGGGCCCTGACCCCAGAGTGTGCTCGGGTAGCAAGAATAGTAGCTCAGGGAGTCAGGGAGGACGGGAGGTAGAGGCCCAGGGATCACATTCTGTGCACGGCAGGGACCGTGGCTCTGCAGTCTACGGAAGGGCTGAGAGCAAGAGCCTGACCTGACGCGTCTGCGCAGAGCGCCCGTGGCAATTGTTGCTTTGGTTCATGTGGAAGTCCAGGTGCTGATATCCCCCCTCCTTGTGGGGTGGGGAGGTCTTAAAAGTCACACCCTGTGTACTATTTCAGGAGAACGTGTCTGGCTGTTAATCGAAAGAAAACGAATTTTCTTTTTTCCTTTTATCATGGGAATTCTAAAAGCTCACCCAAGTGTAGAAGAGTTTAATGGACTTGATAACGCCCGTCACCAGGCTCCCTTCATTATCCCCATAGGGCTGATCTCATTTCAGCTACGCGCACCCACCCCCAACCACCCCAGTGCCCCACGGGTGTGCCTCTCTTTAAGATACCACCTCTGTCTTTACAGAACATAGCCAGGGTGCCATCATCACATCCGAAGAAGTTTGGGGGCACCTGGGTGGCTCAGTTTGTTGAGCGTCCGACTTTAGCTTAGATCATTATCTCATGATTCATGGGTTCGAGCCCCACGTCAGTCTCTGTGCTGACAGCTCAGAGCCTGGAGCCTGCTTTGGATTTTGCGTCTCCCTCTCTCTCTGCCCCTCCCCTGCTCACTCTCTCTCAATCTCTCTCTCAAAAACAAATAATAATAATAAAAAAAGAAGAAGCTTGGGTGTTTGGTTTTTTTTGCTTAATATCAGCAAATAGTCAGTGAAAAGTTGGGTTTACATTTGGGGCCTTTCCTTGCAAGGGGCCTTGACACCGTTGATCTCAGAGGCGTGCCCTGTCCAGGTTGCACATGGGACTCTGTCCCCACCGTTGACCTCGGAGGCGTGCCGTGTCCCGGTTGCACATGGGACTCTGTCCCCACCGTTGACCTCGGAGGCGTGCCGTGTCCAGGTTGCACATGGGACTCTGTCCCCACCGTTGACCTCGGAGGCGTGCCGTGTCCCAGTTGCACATGGGACTCTGTCCCCACCGTTGACCTCGGAGGCATGCCGTGTCCAGGTTGCACATGGGACTCGGTCCCCATGTCTGTACTCGGCCCAAGGACACGCAGGGTTTCGAGTGGCACTGCCCCCCAGCAAGCCTCCCTGCCATTTCCCCTCAGGAGCGGTGGGGTTTGGCTTGGACCAGATGGGAAAGATGGCCCCCCACCCTGGTCTTGGTTATTTTATTTGCGCAGGAGGAATAACTGAGCACAAAGCCAAGCCTGTGAGAACAGGGGAGACTAAGGCACAGTCACAGACCCGCACTCCCACCCGGGCAGGAGCTGAGAGCTTACTGACAGCAAAGCGCAAGGGGACAGTGTGAGCCTGCTGATGACACTCACATCTAACACGTATTCAGCTGTATGGGGCCCCCGGGGGCTCAGTCGGTTAAGCGGCGGGGGGTTGGGGAGGGTGGACTGAACAGAGATGGCCCGGCTCTGAGAGGCAGAGAAGCTTGCTCAGAGGCTTCTCGAGGCTTCCGGGGCCCAGGACACAGGGGCTGCAAGCGGAAGGAGGGAGCAGGCATGTCCCCCACTGGCTGCTGCCATGCACAGCAGCTGGCCGTTGTCAGTCAAGCTGGGAGGCCGCTCAGATGATTCTTGCGCCGGTCAAGGCCCTTTTTAGGGATGGACCCAGGGACACTGCCTTGTACGTGAGCCATCTGAAGTATTCCTGGGCGGGGCTGCAAGTGGCGGCCCTTCGGCCATTTTCCACGAAGAAGATGACGCCAAAGCTGAACCTTGTAGACATGTGTGGCCTTCCAGTCTCGAGAAGTCCCACCGGGGGCCCTGGGCTCTGTGTCCGCTGGGCCACAAGGTCTCCGCGATGGCCTTGAGCCCCTTCTGCCATCAGGCTATATCGGTCTGGGTGCAGACCTTCCAGCACTTCCTCATCGTGGGGGAGGACAGGCCCAGTGTTGCGTCCCCCCACCCAGGCTTAACTAGAAAACCAGGGTCTGAGGCTCCCCTCCAGA